ACAGAACTTTCCATCCTCATGTACTTATTTATGTAAAATTTTTCCGTAGAGCTTAAACCAATAAAAATGAAGAGTCACAGAATTAATCTTGAAACTTACCAGTTTTATCAATAAATTGTGTTTATTGATATATGGAGTAAATGAAAAAATTAACTTTCATCTTATTAAAAGACATCTTTTCCAAAAAAATTTACTTTTCATGCTTAACAATTATATATCAATAGTTGTAATATATTTTTGTTGTTTTTATTTATTTGCAATTGTAATAGGAACTCAATCTAACGAATATTTTCCTACTTACAGCTTTATGATCACATGAAACAAAAGATTTAATTTAGATAAACATTTTAATCTTATATTACATTTCATTTCAAAGTTTTATAAAAGACTTTCAAGCATAAAAAATATTTTGAGAAAAATAAAACTTTTCACAGGGACTGTCATGGAAAGGTGAAATCAAGGAAAAGAGCCATAATGCAAAGTGTCTTACTGTTCTAGAAGAGTTTGTCTACATAATTTTTAAAAAGTGAGAGTATCAAACTTTATTAGCTACATTTAAGATATCAATATTGATAACATATTATGAATTATTTTCTTTCAAGTATTTAAAATTAAGAAGAAATTTTTTACATGCCAACTTTGAAAAGTAGGGGCACAGGTAGTTTTTTTGTGTGTGTGTGAGGAAGATTAGCCCTGAGCTAACATCTGCCAATCCTCCTCTTTTTGTTCTGGAAGACTGGCCCTGGGCTAACATCCATGCCCATCTTCCTCTCCTTTATATAGGACGCCACTACAGCATGGCTTGATAAGCGGTGCGACGGTCCACACCTAGGATCCGAACCTGAGAACCTCAGGCCGCCAAAGTGGAGCACGGGAACTTAACCACCACACCACCAGGCCAGCCCCGAGCACAGGTAGATTTAAAAAATTCTTTCAAAGTGTAGTCGCAGAGTTTAGGAGCTAGTAGATCCAGTACTAGGAAACAGGGCCATGTAGCTCCAAAACCAACAGCTGCTCCTGAGAATGTGTGGAAGTAACTGCAGAGAGTGTAAGTTCAGCTACTCTAACGAAGGATCCTGCTGATCATGCAGACCGTGCAGAGAAATAGAAACTAAATATTTCACATCTTCCAAATGTAGCATGGACAACTAAAAACGAAGCCATATGCAGCTTTGTGCATCTATCTAGACAAAAAAAAAATAAACCCCAAAACAAAAGACAACTAAACTAATCTTTAATTTCCTTTTCTGGGAGGCCATGCAGAGCAGCAAGAAGCTCCGCCCGGTTAGCAAGCAGCACCTGCTGTGTGTTAGTACTCACGTCCTCGCCCCTTCCTAACGCCGACCTCGAGGCGTCCTCATCGCTGTCCACCCCCGACAGCCCGATCTGCTCGGCCTAGAACACAAGCACGAACCCACGTCATCTCCAGGTGAAAATAAGTTCAAACGAAAAAATCGTCCTTAATATTGAGGCAAGAAATGCCACCATGGCCATCCTCCAAGGCAGGAGAGCCTACACTAAATGCTGAAATCCATGGCCACGTCCCTCAGCCTCGGGACTTGAAAGCTGTTCTAAAGCAGCCCTTAACCAAAGTGCTCGCTGATCTGCAAATCACAATTTTGCAATTCATGACTCACAAGGATGAGTTTTCTTTTTCCTTTTTCTCAAAAGCATCTCTTTAGCTTAGAAAATATGCACTATGAACAGCAGTGGGTCTGAGCTAATGGAGTTAGCTCAGAAAATGAAATAATTCACTAGGTATTGAGGATTTCTAAGTTTTAAATTCAGTTTACACTGCATTGCTCATTGACTGGGTGTACGTAGAAATAATTCACTCACTATCTCACTCCCTATCCATAAGAGGAAAACCATAATGATATCTCTTTACTGCTTAAGAGGATGTTCCACGTGATGGTGTGCTGACCACCAGGCACAGAATCACCTGGGTGCAACTGGAAAATACAGCTCCTGGGCCCCAGCCTGACCTCCCATTGAGAATCTTTGGGGACACGACCCAAGAAGCCAATTGTTAAACTAGGTCTTAAGGTGATTCTTAGGTACTTTACAGAACTACTGCGTTAGGAGAATAAATAATGTCAAAATGATACAAAATTGTCAGGTTTCAAAACCACTGAAATACCAAAGTTTTTTTTTTTTTGTGAGGGAGACCAGCCCTGAGCTAACATCCATGCTAATTCTCCTCTTTTTGCTGAGGAAGACCAGCTCTGAGCTAACATCCATTGCCAATCCTCCTCCTTTTTTTCTTCCCCAAAGCCCAGTAGATAGCTGTATGTCATAGTTGCACATCCTGCTAGTTGCTGTACGTGGGACGCAGCCTCAGCATGGCCAGAGAAGTGGTGCGTCAGTGCACGCCCGGGATCCGAACCCGGGCCGCCAGTAGTGGAGCGCGTGCACTTAACCGCTAAGCCACCGGGCCGGCCCCCAAAGTTTTAAAACAAGGAAAGATATTGGCCCTTATCTACTTCAGCCAAAATGATATCCCTTTAAGTATATTCTCTATTGAGATTTTATATATATATACACACACACACAATCTCTATTGAGATTTTATATATACACACACACACACAACACACACAAATATACACACATGTATATTTTTTTCCTTTAAGGAGATACAGTCAAGACTCACTTTAGCTTTAAATGCCTTGATATTTCTTCATTCTTAGTGCTTTGTTCTCTGTAGAGACATCTGTAGACTATCTGGCATCATAGAATTTTAGAAGTCATTTAAAAAACGATTTACTCCAAATCCTCTCATTATTAATGAAGAAAAATAGAGACCCAGACTTGTGAAGCCACGCACAGCGTGAATAAACTAGGGCTCGGAGGACAGGCGGGGCGGAACCCCAGCGCTCGCTGGCACTATAATTAGCCCAGAGCTACACAGCTTAGTTTCTTCACCTGCAGATAGGGTTGATAATACCTCTCTCACCAGGTTTCTAGAAGATTCAATCAGGCTGCATTTAGCAGCTCAAACAACAAAAACGGAGAGAAACAAGGAACGATGAAGTTCATGCCAAAAACAACAACAAATAACCCAATAATGATTCGGCTGAATAAGGGAAGTCTAGAGCAAAATAAATGAAATAAATGAGAGGGAAAGATGACGCATGTGAGAAAGGAAAAGTAATCCTAGCCCGTCCAAGACAGAGGAAAGAGAGGGACAGCAGGAAAAGTCCCGTGCAATCACAGAGCAGGCTGCATCGCCTGCGGCCTCTTCACCGGTGTTTCATCCTTCCATGGCGTCTCCTGCCAAACCCCCAGCAGCCAAGTCAGTCGCCAGTCTCCAGTGCTTCAGGCTATCTTATTTTGCTTAAAACAAAAATATTTCTAGACTTTTTACTGGTTTCATCTCTCAAAAGGAGGAAGACACAATAAGAATGACTCTTGAGATCTGAGTGTGAAGAAATGGTAGATTTTACCGTGAATTGGTGTCCTAAGGACCAAGAGGGACAGCAGTGAAGGCAGTCCCAGCAAACTTACCTCAAAAATTTCAGGAACCAAAAAACCCAACATTTATCGAGTGAAGGGACATTCATATGCAGAAGTCTGAATCTGTAATTTCAGTAATCCTGACAGGAATGGAGAGGACAGGAGAGGAGAAGGGAGGGAGGGGAGGCTCAAAGATCTGACATAGAGGATGCACACTGAGCACAGATTTCCAAAGGACACACAGAAACATGCAGGAAAGCACATATAATCAGTAATAAAAAGGAGAAGCACAAAATCATAATCAAAGCATCGGGGCAGGCAGAGAAAAACTGAGCTGAGGTTTGTGGGAAACTCCTAAGGACAATAAAGCACCCCCCGGTTCAGCCTGGTGAGCTTCATTTGACCTTCAGCTTTCACCGAGCATGTTCACCGACCTGGTGCTTCGGAATCTCCACACGGCCAGGGGCAGCCGCTGGCTCCACAGTCTAGACCCACCTGGGATCTAACCCTGGGACCCTGAGCAAGCTTTTTTATTTCTTTGAGCTCCAGTGTCCTCAACAGCGAACCTGGGGTGAATCATCATTCCGACACCACAGGCCCCTGAGGGTTGGGAAATGAGACACACAGCTGGTGCACAGATGCACAGATCTATGCAATGGATCTAGAGGGTTCTCAACAAACCTGAGTCCACCTTCCTCACACTTCTTCTAAAACTGAACAGATGGTGGACATTTCCAAACTGAGCTGACAGTATTGAAGCCCAACATTCACCAGAACGGCTTTGTCCTTTTTAGTCTCATTTATTAGTAAGGAGAAAATAATAGATTTTAGCAAAATGCACCTTTTAAACACACATAATAGGATAACGAGCATTTTCTTTTCTTGGTAATTAGAAGGGATTTGTGGTTTTGAGAATTGCATACATGATTCCAAAAATCTTCATTTTTACTCTATGTACAATGACTTTAAATGACTCTATAACATTATATCCAAAATAAGATGCTAAGATTTATTTAATAAAGGCCAGCAAGATTATAATAAAATTAACTTATGCAGCATTTTCCCAAGTCATATTGGGAGGACCAAAGAATATGCAAAATTTACTAGCAAATGGGCTAGTTCAACATCTAATACTCTTCCTCAAGGCTTCATATGTTAAACAAGTTCTGAAGCTTCAGTTCATCTACAGGGACATTGACTATTTTGTATAAACTTAATTGTACCGTGCATTCACTCATTCATCAACGCAGAAAACGGTTACTAAGCATCAACCTCACGCCAGGTACTGTGTAAGTATCTGCAGAGAGGGGCTCAGGGCTTCATGTTCTGATGGTGAGTAAACACCATCACCCAAGAACATGGCTTCAGGACTCAAGTGTGGAAGTACCAGTCAGTCATGTTAGTGCACGCTGATAAGCTCCCTTTTCCTGAAGGAATTAATATTCCTAAACATATTTAGAGAAATTCCAAGATGGGTTGAGTATAAACATTTCAAGAAACTATTTTTACATAATACAAAATCATACATGTATTCAATCCATTACCTTACTATTGCTTCCTCTATTAACTTTGAAAAATCCCAGAAATGTTTTCTTCTCTTTGTCTGTCTCATCATTGCCAAGTGATGATTTTCTAAAGGTTTCTGGAAAAAAAAGAGTAAGAAGTTATTTTTCAGCATATGAAAGAGATTAAACACTTCACTTTAAAAATCTCAGTGAATGACTCCTCTACTCTTAAACTTTATTTTAGTTCTTATAAGAGGGTAAAACCATCAACTACTTCTTTCAAAGCATTTCAAGCCATCTCACAGCATGCAGTCGCGTTTATGAAACCACTAGAGGTTCTTACACTCCGTTAGTGATTATGGTGGCGTTTTTCTCTGGGTGTGGTTGTACCCCGTATGAGAATGAAAAAAACAAATCTAAAAGTTCTAGGGAAGTGCTGCCCAATAGAAAAATAAAGGGAACCATATACGTAATTTTATATTCTCTAGTAGTGGCATCAAAAAGAACCAGGTGAAATTAATTTCAATAATATATTTTGTTTAATCCAACACAACTAAAATATTATCATTTAATCACATAATATAAATATTAGTGAGACATTTTACATTCATTTTTGCACTATGTCTTCAAAATACAGTGTGCACACCTCAGTTCAGTCTGGCCACACTCCAAGTGCCCCACAGCCACACGTGCTCGGGACCATGAGACTGGACAGCACAGCTGTAAGGACCGCAACGCCCATGCAAAACATCCACTTTAAGAGTTATGAGTGAGGCAAAAACGCTAACTACATAAAATAAATCAATGGCCTTCCTGCTTGAAGGGCTCTACTCCTTTTTAGAACATGGAATAACAGCAGTGGTTTACACAGGTGGTGTTTGAAATAATCACCTCAGATTTTCCAGGACCCATGTTTCCAGATTTTCCTTCCTCCACCTCAGCCAGAATGCTTTTCTTTTTAATTACATTCTCTAGGGGGGCCTTTTTTTTTTTTTTTTTTTTTTTTGAGCTCTCATCCTCTATCTTCTCCGTTTCTTGATGTTTTCTTCACCAGGATTTTAGAGCTAGAACTGGCCCTCTTATGTTCCAGATGGGGACACCATAGCCCAGAATTGTCAGGCAGCGGACAACAGAGCCAAGGGCTGTGGTTCCCAGGGCAAGGAGGGACCGGCAGCAACAGCAGCACTGGGAACCTGGACCCATTCCAGACCCCGAATCAGAAACTCAGGGGGTGGGGCCCAGCACCCTGCCCTAACAAGCCCCCTGGGGATGCTCAAGCTGTGGGGACGCACTTGAGAGCCGGCGCAGTAGAGGTTAAGAGCTGGCAGGTGTGCAGCGTACGTGGGCAGGTTGCTTCGCAGCTCCAGGCCTGAGTTTCCTCACCTGCAGACTGGGGATGAGTCAGATAACTGTGCCTGGTACACACAGCTCTATGACTACTGGCTATCATTACTCCCTGATCTGCTGACACTCAGACGCCACTCCTGGCCTTTATCATAAACTTGTCCAGTCCTTCTCGTCCAAGGCACACAGACATGGCAAGAGGACAGATAATTTAGGTGTTCCCAAAGGAGAGAAAAATGAATTTCCCCATACCACTGCCAACTGCTAGACAGCCACAGTGCCAATCCAATAGTGGGAAAATCTCGACCAGGATTATACAAACTCTACCATAAAAACATCAACCGAAACAAGGTAAACATCAGTTAACTTTTTTATCTGCTAACGTAGAATCTCATACTCCAAACAGAGAACAGACAGAAAAGCCAGTGCGTTAGTACTGTATGCATTCACACTAATACGGTCTACCCAACAAAGCAAGATTCAAGCACACGCATTCTCTAAATCACTCTGGGAGTGGCAAAGGCTCAGGTGAGTCTCCAGGGCCAGGACTTTCAGCTCCGTGCAGGCGGCTCCAGCCGAGCTCATCAGCAGCCTCCACATCACACAACATCCAAACCAGCAAGCCGGCTGGCTTCAGTCACGAGGTGTGCATCCACGCAGAAACGTGTGCACACGGAGTTCACGGCTAATCACATCAAGACCCTCTACTGAGCACAGAGCTGTAAAGGGTAACATATACTATACTACAGGGTAAAGCTATATGTAAACTACAGTATGTATTAAGATGTGTATTTACACCTAAGATGTTTCTAGAATTGATTGGTATATGACACGGATATCGTAAAATGCATGGTATTATAAGACCTGACAGATGAACAAGAGAGAGAACATGTTACTGCTGCACCCTATTACACCACCACAAAAACGAGAGACGGGATCAGAAAATTGCTATCAAATGGAGCCTCTTGTTTCTCTCCTCAACAGTGACAGTGGCTGGCCACCACGCCCACAGGACTCAAGGCTCAGGGACAGCCCTGGCACCAGAGCTGCCCCACAGTGATCCGAGTGGCTCTCTTGCTCGGCCACAGCCTGCAGTTGTCTGGAGGTGGCAGGGACCCAGCACCCAGCCCTGAGCCAGGCCCAAGCAGGTGGTCTGATTTGAGAGGCTTTGGTGACTTTGGACTGAGAGGGGCCTCCTGTGAGCCCTTTGCGACTCGGCAGACACTGCAGAAGGATCGGCTTGAGAGCTCAGCAAGAGCATCTGGTTTTCCTTACAGTGTTCCCATCAGCCAAATCCCCACAGGGCCCTGCTGCACAGTCAAAGCAGTAACTGGCAACCGATACATAGCCTGGCCGCGAACATACACAGCAGACCTGGAATCCATGGCTAGACGAATGACAACTTGAGCATGACATTTATTTTGTTTTAGTTTACTCTAATTCACTAAAACTTAAATATTAATAAAAGTTTAGGGGAGGTTGTGCTTAATCCATAAGAAAGCACGTCCTGTTCTGAAGCATCAAAATGACTTGGAGAATGTAAAGATGAATTGAGGGTGCAGAGGGATGGATGGAGCTGCTGGAGCTTTAAACACCAACGAGTCCAAAGAGCCCACTCTTCCGGACGAGAAAACTGAAGGTCAGGACCGTCCAGTGACCACAACAAGGTCACCAGGCCAGTACCTGCAAGAGGAGAACCAGGTTTGCATTTCCAAGTACACGACATGGGAATTCTCACAACGTGCAGTCTCTAAGTGCTGGGCACCAAACGAGACCACGTATACACAGGGCCTTTGGGCCCCCCTCTCTGCTACTCTCAGCCTGCCCGTGTTCCCAGATCAAAGCAACCAGAATTGATACAGCCTTCACACATATGAGTTTTCTGCTCAAAACGACTCCCTTCACAGTGTTTCTTAAAAGAGAATCCTTCTTTCTGTAATCTTCATCTGTACTGTACTACGGATCAGATAACAACAGATGAGGAATATGAATGGTGGCCTAGGCCACGGGACTGCCAGACATGACACCACGGACTGCGGTTCTAGACCAACACAGTTCCTTTCATTAATTTTTTTTCTAGAAACAAACTCTATTATTAAACACTTAATACACATGGATAAAAATTTCTGTAAACTATAAGCACTCATTAGGATTTTAATGAACTTTTTTGAATATGTATGTGTGTATATGTATATATAGTCCAAAATGTTCATTAAAATCCCAATATATATGTGTATATATCTATGTATATCTATCAGTATATATCTATGTATATGTGTGTACGTATATGCATATATATGTAAATATATACATATATTTGTGCGTGTATATATAAGAAATAGGTGTCAGGATAAATGCAAAATCTGGACTAGTCGTTTACATACTTGTCTATGACAGAAAAGATTAAATTTCACAATCCACATTGCCCCAAATTCTGAAGCAGGCAGGATGGACCTTGAGGGTAGGTGAGCACAGGTGAGCAGGAAACAGTGCCTCTGCCCCATGTACCACCTCTGTTCTGCCCAGAAATTCTGTGTTCATAAAGGACCTGTTCTTTACAACAACCTCCTTCATTTCTTACCAGTTAGAACCACACAGCAAATCCTCTGTCCTCTAAGAGACATTCTTCTCTTAGCCAACCAGAGAGTCAAACCAAACCATAACCTCATTTCAGCCAGCAAGACGCCCCCAGAGGCGCCACAAGCCACAACTGCATTCCCTCAGGTCCTGCACACAATCATCACTTCCGTGCATCATCCGAGCCCAGAGCCATGCAAAGTGCAGCCTAGCAGGAGCAGTGCTCGGGCTCACTGTACCTCGACGGCTCAGGGAAGGCTCCGACTGCGTTTTGGTCAGAAGAACTGGAAAAGGCAGGCAATGAGAGAGTGAGGGCAAGCTTCGAGATCTGCAGCAGCACCTGACCAAGGCCCCGGCCCCTCCATCGGCCTCAGATGGGGGGTGTCTGTGCCCACGCAGGAGAAGGCCAACTGCAAAGCAGGCCTGCATTCTTGGCCTTGATCTCCTAGAGCCCGCAGCTGCCAGGCTGCTAAGTGCCGCCATGGAAGCAGGTGGCAGCAAAGCCTTCTGCTTTTTACAAGCTGCCACCTCCAGGAATTCCAGAGGAGGTGCCCTCTGCCTAGCAACACATGTCCTCCTGCCAGCGGCCCTCACCGGTTCTCAAGCAGCTGCGGGCTGGGGAGGGGATGTCACCCAAGAGGGACAAAGAAGAGGGCTCCTCATGGGCATCCTCTGGAATGTTCTCTTTTCTTCTCAAATACTTGACTGTCAGTAGAGTGGGATGGAGGTGTTTGGCAGGAAGGGAAATCAAATATTTCACAGACAGCAAGGCACGTGGCTCAGTATGGTCCGGATGAAAGGGATGTCAGCCACTGGGCTGGAGCAGGTACCCCGCCACGCTGGGTGTGAGTCCTTTATTTTCTGGGGATGCTGCTGGGGTCCCAGGCAGAGCATCCCTTGCAGGGTGCCCGAGGCCGGGGAGAGGGGGACTCAGGGGCTTGGGCACAGCTCTGTCCCCTAGGGCAGAAGTACTTCCACATGCAGTGGGCAGGTAGCTGCACCAGTGTGCCCCATCCCGCGTGGAGATCAAAGAGGGGGCGCTGGACTTAGTGGGGTTTCCTCTCAGGACGTCTCACCCCTGTGCTCCAGATGACTGTGGGCTTGCAGGGTCCACGCCTTAACAGAGAGGCTGGGTTCATATAACTTTCCCCAGGTAACAGGTTCTACAGCCCCTTTCAAGATATATCTGACGATTGACATAGAGCAGGAATAGCTGTTTGTGTAAGGCTTTTTCTTGCAAATACTTAAATGTGGGACAGTTTTTCTTTTCTTTTCTTGTCTTGCCAAATGAAAGCTCTGTTTCCAAAGAGTCACAGAAACCAAATTTAAATAGGGCTGATATAACCTGACAGACACCCCCGCGATATCCAGGCCTGTGTAGCAGATGCTGAGAATAATCTTGGGTGAGTTTTAAAAAGATACTGGCTAAAACACAAGATGCATTACTCTCAGATGTCAGAGCACTGCTTCTGAAGGAATAGTCTATGTATCTGATACTCAAGGGAGCTAAAACCCTTTCCTGAATATCAAATGAGACCAGGGTCCCGAACCTCCAGAAGTCCCAAACCTCCACTGTGACCACTGATTTCACAATAAATTTGGTAATAGCAAAACAAATTGTTTTATTGGGTGAATTTGAAAGAAGCTGTAGAGAAACATGAAAAACTTGAATATGTATATATTTTAAAAGCCCAGCTTGTTCAATATTATGGAATAAGTAAAAAGGCAACAGATACCAAGTGAGCTCACTAAAACAGATACTTTTCTGAAGTCCACTTTAGTAACTCTAAGAGCAAGGAACATTAAAATTTTTTTTTTGGTCTGACAGTTGGTTAAATACAGTCAGCCCTTTGTGCCCATCAGATGTCCTGCTCACAGGACGTCTCAGTCTTTGCACCAACATCCACCTCGGAGCAGCCACTCTCACCAGTTGCTCTAACTGTGACATCAGGCCAGGTACTCAATTCACATGGGCAGTGAGGTCTCTAGCACGGATGCTGAGGATGCATCCTCAGTTGTCTGGAGGGACTGAGCTCATGAACTATACTTTGGGCAGGTTAAAGAACAGCTAAATGCATTTTTGCCACTGGTTTTGATCATAAACAGTGTTTGAGACTTGGGAGCAGGAAACGGCAGTGAAAAAGAAACCCAGGAGAAGACGGTTTGAATGTGGTTTCTGAGTAGTTCTTTCAGAGTGGATGCTCCGATTTTCTTCTCACCTTCCCCTCTCTTACTTATCTTACTGAAGTTCACAGGAGACAAGGGGTGAAGGACTTGCTAAGGACTGGAGGAAAGAGGCCCAGAAATTTTCTTGCAATCGAGGGGAACAAGAACAAGCCAAATTTGTTTTCTGCCCACTTCAACTCTGGTTTGGACAAAATTCAAGCTGCCTGAAAATTCACACACTCATCTTTACCCACCGCAACCGTTGGGCAGAGAGCTGATGGGGGCTTGTGTGCTTCCCGTCCGTGTCCCTGGGGGTGGGCTGTCTATGGCACCCAGTGGCCTCACCTCTCTTGTTGTCCCACGCGTAGAGCTCCTTTATCCCCAGCTCATTCAGGGACTTGGACAGCTCCAACTCCTCCCCAGCAATGTTGTCCCTGAGAAGCACCACATGCTCTGGGCTGACCTCACACTTTGCACAGATGACAGGAAGAATGTTCTGGAGCGGGACCTCAGGGCTCACACGCACAACTGCCTTTTGCGTTCGCAGGTAGTTCACTACCAAACGCACAGACTTCTGGAAGAACGCACCAGACAAAAAGAATTCTGTAAGTACATCTTCCCACAATGGCTTCAAACTGTGTTTTTACACCAGAATTGAGTACGGCAAGATTTTGTGTAGCCTGAATCTTTCTTCCACAAATTCAGTGGGTCATGAGGGAAAGTGGCATACTGAATAGTGAACAATAAGTGCTTGGAATAATAAATTTACTTTAGAATCTTTCTTACTAATGATCAAACTGCTACAACACAGGGAAATGGACATCAGTGAGGGATCTCAATTTAAAATCCAATACATATGCTGTCTTTCAAGGATTCTGACCAGACTTGAACACTAGGCACTTATACACATTTTTCTAAAGGAACATAGTTTGGAAGTATTATGAATAATTCAGTTTAAAGAAAAACTCTCACAAAATAAGACATCAAATTTTTAAAAGCCAAAATATCCACATAAATATACGAATATCTATGTGAATATATATAGTGTGTGTATATAACTGTGCACACACATATTTATATATACATACTACACACACATATATTTTAAGCTAGAAAATATTTTAGATTTTTTTAAAACATCAGATATATAATAATCAGAAAGAAAAACAATTTGACTACAGCTGATTCTAAGTGACTACATATAAAGTGTTGCATCATAAAAACTGAATCTGCCACACTTCCATGAAGTCAACTTCTGTTGGCCTTGACTGATCACCCACATTGTTCTAAGATCTGGAGGGCGGACACAGTAAACGTGCATCACATAAGAGTGAATGAGGTAGATCTCAGGCTGTTTTCCAGTCTGAGTACCAGGAGGTACTGAATTTTAGGAGGAAAGATGGAATCCTTGTCCATGCTTCTCAAACTGAAATTGTGCACAACTCTGGGCTCGCCTGCCCCCAAGCTTTTCACCTGGGGACCAGGAAGGTAAGAGAAGCTACAGGATATAAAAATGGTTTCGTTTCCTTGAACACTAATTTTACTTGAATATTTAAGGAAAACTCTTTCAAACAGAATGGAGGTGGCATCAATTAAAACTTATTAACCACTCAAACCTAGAACTTCACCCGTTGGCCAAATTTCCATTTTGTAAAGCAGGAAAATTTAGTAGATATTCCAAGAATCTAAAAAAATGAAACAGCACTGCTTTTAATTGGAACTAAAAGATCCATATCCAAGCCTTGTTAAAAAGTACAATGAGCAGCTGGAGTTAGTTTTAATTGATAATCAAAAGCCTGAAATAAATCTCTGCATATGATAAGATATTCTCCAACTGCAATGAGTAAATATTTCTAACATCAATTTTTCAAAAAGGAAAATTCTCTTTTTTCCTCTCTCTCTCTCACTCTCTCTCGGAAGATGTTCAAATCTTCTACATATCCTGTCTGCTTCCTAGGGCAGGAAGACCTCCATAACTGAACTAGGCCCTTTAGAACTAGTCCAATAAGGTAGCCACTGGCTACTTGTGGTTACTTAAATTTGAATTAATTAAAAGTTCAGTTTTTCGATCACACTAGCTGCATTTCACGTGGTTAGTAACTACACGTGGGCAGTGATTATCACTCTGCGAAGTGCAGAATTATAGAATATTTCCATCCTTGCAGAAAGTTCAAATGATTAGCTCTGCTGTAGATGAATTCCTTTTCTATAATATCCAAAGGAGCAATATTACAACAATGAACATTATTAAATTCTGTAAATTTCCACCTCCTAAAATAAACTCAGTTTAGTTCCTAATGTTGTCTAGCATGGAAGTAGGAACCTCAACCACAGCTGTCTGCACGTTTTACTTGGCTAAGAGGGGCTCCACCAGGCCCTCGTCAGCACCTCCCATACCCGCAGCCACAGGCATCTGCATATGTCCTTAGATGACACAGGGTTCCCGTCCTACTGACCTCAGGCACCTTAGGTGGGCCAGGCTTAACCTTCTCTTCAGGAACTTTTTCTTTCAGAAATACAGTGTGCACATTCAGGGTCCCAACTAAAGTATTTGGCTTAAAACTCAAAGGCTGCTGGGTTTCTGAAGACCGGATCTCAAGGGCATGGTGGGACGGATTCAGGTGGTTCTGAAGGCAAAGTTCAACCAGCAGGTCCATCATTGCGTAGCTGGAAAAGGGAAACAAAGCATGGTTATTAGGAATGTCTGCTCTCCCCTTCTGTCTAGCTGAGTGAGGGCAGAACAAACCGGCCAGTGGAGGAATGAGCAAACTGGCTGTGCTGATGAAGAAAGACAGCCGCAGCTCATTGATTCCTCATGCATGATTGACAGCAATTTCTTAACATTTTCAGTACTAGTAAACAACATGAAAGAGCAGCCAGTAGATCAAAATCATAATAGCTGGGAAAATAGTTGTATTTCTAATCAAATTTATGGGTATGTGAACTTGAATCATGTAAGGTCCCTTAGCACAAACAATATTACTTATGGGCACAAGGCATTACATTTTCAGTTATTCATAAACGTAATGTATCTTAAAAACTTAAATTTTTAAGTTGAAGAAACTGATCACTTTCTTTTAAGCTAAAAAATGCCTTTTTAAAGACAAAAAAATTTAAGAAAATTCCCTTTGTTGAATGTGAAAAATTTTCATAATGTCCTCCCACCACAGGTAATTATTTACTAAGGGAGGAGAGTAACAATTCAGATTATCCCAAAGAATGGAAAGTTTCACCGATATCTTTTATATCTGCCTGGCAGATGTTTTTATATTTAAAGCTGACTTCTCTTTGCCTACAAATTTCCCAAGCAGTGGAGCATAAACCTCTCACGAAAGCATAGGTCCTTTCTCTGATCTAATTCTGAATTAGTAACTGGCATGGCAATTATTTCAGGTCATGATTATGCTTTCCAGGTGTCTGGTGACCTGGGTGTGTGCAGATCTGGGATTCCCAGCATGCCTGTAAACACACAGGTGCTAGCCACTGGCCCACCACCATTCATCCGTCACTCACCTGGAGCTGCTGGGGGCACTGATGCTGAACAGTAAAGCCACAGGCAAAGTCCCAACCCTGAGAGAATTCCCCAAAGGCTCTATTTCTCATTCAGTTGCTACAAGTAAAGAATATCATAATGCTCTGATTGTTTCGAAACCGTCTCCAGGATAATATTTACTCTCACCCACTACCCAGGAAGTAATTAAGTAACAGCATGTGTCTTAACCGGGGTCTGGAATCCCCTGTGAAGTTTAGGAGGCTCAGCACTTCTCCTGGCCCGCTGGAACTCGGATGGTGCATTCATCGGGCCACACAGCTCTAACCCTCACGAGCACCACACACGGGCAGGCACGCTGGCTAATAATGCTGTGAACTCTGATTCCTTCAGCTCTGAGATAAAAATCATCTTTATTTCAACAATGAGCTTAATGCAACAAAACAAGGAGTGACATCACCAAACACTCCGAGACATAATATTCCACTGAAAAGTCTCAGTATAGAAAACAGACTTCTAAGGACGCTAAAACAACGACATATTATTTGTGACCATTCACTGCGTGTCCATGATGGCCCGGAGCCATACTGCGCACTTCACTTCATTCCCTCTCATCCTCACAAGTCTGGGAGGTGGGGACTACTATCCCGGGGTTTCCAGGGAGAGGTGGAGCTGGGATTGGGACTCTGATCCATCTGATGCTGGGTCTCATTTCCTCTCTCTTCTCCCCATCCACAGTCTACTTCCACCAAGGAAACCAATATAAACACTTTTTCAAACAAATATTTGAAGTAATCTTAGAACAAAACCACAAAAAACACAAAAGCTATTAATGGAAACTTCCATTCTTTTTAAACTGACTTTGAATTTTTTTTTTTTTGAAGGAAGATTGGCCCTCCTTTTTTCCTTTTTTCTCCCCAAAGCCCCAGTAGATAGTTGTATGTCATAGTTGTACACCCTTCTAGTTGTGGTATGTGTGATGCTGCCTCAGCATGGCTTGATGAGTGGTGCATGGGTCGGCGCCCAGGATCCGAACTGGCAAACCCTGGGCCGCTGAAGCGGAGTGCGCAAACTTAACTGTTACACCACTGGGCTGCCCCGAAACTTCCATGCTTTTAATCCAATAATTGGTAACATGTTTGAAACATCAAATTAGACGTTCTGAAAGGGAGCAGGCCAGCTCTGGGGCTGGATGGATTTTTTTCCATTACAGAGAATAAACCTGTCTGGCCATAACAGAAGCCAGTACGTATCACTGAATGCACTAGCAGAGCAGTGATGTGGCATTTCTTTCCTGTCCGAATAAATAAGTGGGTCCTTAAATCTCTGTCTGTGTGTCGAATGGATCTCCTCCAAAATTGGCTGATGGATACTCAGCAGTGCTGACCTTCACTCTTTCCTGACCCTAGTGTAGGATGTAGTTCTTCCCAGAGAGAGCTCCTTGATGTTAAGGCTGCAGTGACGTGCAACAGTTGAGTGTGGAAGCAGTTTCTCGATAACATGTTTGAGGAATGGGAGAAGGAAAGGATTCCCAAGCAGAAAATTCTATGTGCTGGAGGCCTATCTCCTCAAATTTACTATCAAATGACAGGGAGAGGGAGGCAAAAAAAGAAAAACCACAACACTGTAAGAAAGTGATAATAAAACTCAGCTCAACACCACAGGCTGGGTCATCACAGGCCCTTAAATCGGTTGAAAACCAATGCAACCTGGACCAGCAAATCAGACACCAGCCCTCCCGGTGGCTGGAACCCAAGCGGTTTTACAGGAAAGTGAGGAGGTTTGGGACGAGGGGAGCCAGGCTTTGAGAGCTGTCTTGCTCTCTTTCAGGCCATTTCTCTTGGAGACTCACAGATGGACACAGCATCCCGACACAGATCCGACTTGGGTTGCATCTAAGAAGCCAGATGTGCAGAAGTCCGAACAGGAGGACTCAAGCCCAAAAGCACGAGCCCATCTCACAACATTTCCTAAAGGGTCTGCCATCTGCCACATCATGGGACCCTTCCCCAGGCCCATTTAAAATGTGACCTCATTGACGACTTCTCCCCTGTATGCTTCTCAGGATCACGTCCTTGCACAGTGAGGTGTGAGTGAGGTGGCCTTAACACCACTTTTCACCACACATATTAAGCTGCTGTTGGCCAGCATTTTAAAACCCCAAACTCCAAACAGTAAGCCAGTTCCTTCAAGGCTCCTTTGATGCTCCTGGAAAAATTCACCCAGAAAGAGAGAAGGAACCCACAGCACAATGGCAGTGCCAAGGACGGACACAGAGGTCCTGACTGCTGCCTGGTCCCTGTGGGTTCCCTTCACAGATTCACCAGACCTCAACCCACAGAGGATGAATGATTTCTCTAACTGGGTGTCATTTTGTGCCCTCCACAGGGTCTTGGTAGGTCCCTGTGCCACTGGGCGACAGGAAAGAGCTTTCCGGAGCCTGGAAGAGGTTGCCTCGTCACTCCTACACTTTCTCATCACCTCCTGAGCCTGGTCTCCTGTTCGCGCCTCCCACCTGCCCTGGGATGCAGTGGCACCCGCCTCTGATCTGCCGCTTTGCACATGCTGGCCCTTTGATGAGGGGTTGAGCATCTTCCCCATGGCAGTATGGGGATTTAGTGAAAGGACTGGAGGGGCAGGCTGCCCAGGATGGAGTCCCAGCACCACCACTCACTGCTTCTCAGACCTGCCTCTCCGTGCCTCTGTTTCCTCATCTGTGAGGGCATAATGACAGAGTCCACCTGTTAGACTCTTAAGTGAATTAACACTTGTAAGACACTGAGCACAGTGCCAGGCACGTGGTAAGTGTTATGTGTTTGCTAAATAAATGAGTTAATTCATTCCTGTCTTTTCTATTTGGGATTCTACGTAGTGAGACGTTTTACTTGGCTCGGAGCAAAGCGTCTCCTGTTGGTATGTGGCTGAACTCTATCCTGCTCTCAGCAAATACCAAGATAAAACAAGACGCTTTTCAAGTAGCATCCTTGAGGCACTGCAGAATCAAGTTTCCCCAATCTTACAAAGAGAAAACTAAGGCAATCAGACACTCCCAGAATGTCAGAGGAAGGTCAGGTGTATTAAGGAAGCTGACTAGACCGTCAGTGCTAAGGACACACAGCACACCGCCCGGGCCTCAGTGGTCACCCCGTATGAATATTGCTATGGACAGAATTGTGTTTCCCCAAGTTCATGTTGAATCCCTAACCCCTATGTGACTGTATTTGGAGACAGGGCCTATAAGGATGTAATTGAGGTTAAATGGGGTCATAAGGGTGGGCAGTAATCTGGTAGGATCAGTGTCCTTATAAGAACAGACACCAGAGAGCTCGCTCCCTCTGCACACCCACAAGAAGAGGTCACGAGAGCACACAGCAAGACGGTGGCCGCCTACAAGCCAGAAAGAGGTCTCAGAATGAAATCTTCCCTGCTGGCACCTTGATCTCGGGCTTCTAGGCTCCAGAACCATGAGAAATAAACGTCTGTTGTTTAATCCACGCAGTCTGTGGTATTTGGTAGTTTGGTAGCCCAAACTGACTAAGACAAACACAAACACCATTCTCAGGGACTCTCTCTCTCTCTCTCTCTCTCTCTCTCTGTAATCCCAAATTCCAAGTTTAGTGGACGAGTAAAAGACAGTGGTAAAGAGGACTGATTACCCAAAACCGCACTAACGGGGGTGGTGGGGGTGGGGCGAATCTCTGGGGTTTTCTCTCCCACTGCTCCTCAATCCTTTTTTCTTCCAACTTCTTCATCTCTTTGTTCTCTAAATGTCTTTTAAGTGCTCATAATGTAGGGATGAAATTTATTTTTTGGCATTTATTGTGGTCTCTATTTTTAAATTTAAAGAATAGAATTTTTCTACTTATTTCTTTAAAAAATATTACTTTCCAAACGTGTATAGACTTCAAAAACTGTTTTTGCACGAGTCAGTGGTTTCAGTAAGAAAAACTGGTCTTTTCTTGTATGCGATTCTTTCTGAAATCCTGGTGGAGAGCGAGACAGCAATGAACAACCTGTGACAACACTCCTGCTCCCCCAATGCAGAGGCCACTCAGTGGCCACTCAGAGGACTCAGGGATGACAGTGAAGGGGCTATCTGGGCCCACAGAGCTGGGACATGGAAGTCAGAGAGGCCAGGCGCTAGTTCCATCAAGTGGGGCCCATTAATGAGTCGCCC